GAGGAACAACAGTCCTATGAAATAGAAAGGTTGATTCCAAAGCTGACCCCATCACAATGTCCCAATTTAACAGACAGGAAGAAGGATGTAGAAGACTAACTAATAAAGACAAACCAGAAAATACTGATTTCAACCCAGAAACATAGTGTTTAATTTAAAGGCAGCTCTTTGGAAAACTCTTTCCTCTGTTGTCAAATAAGCATTGGAACCTGTCTATCTTTCCAATCATTCAATTTGAATAGAGACAAAGGAATGACACTCTTGGCTTTCAAGCAAACACTAGGGCACAGGGTGGATACATGATTCAGATTCACTATTCTTTCAAATTGCCAGTTTTAATTTCTATTGCCTGATAAAAAAGAGACATCCTTTCTTCTCATACATTGAGCCATTTTCTACTTTTCTCTCAAAGGCAAAACAGAGAGATCTAACTCCAACTAATGGCTTTTAATTTAACATGAAAGTATCCTATAGGACTAAAGTCTTTCACTTTATAAAGTCAAATGACCTGCACTTTGTTTTCTAAGTTAATATACTACTTGGAATAAAAATGAAAGTGCAAATTGCAGTTGATTGATTCTGCCTGAAAGCACTAAATTTAAGAGTCTTCTGCAGGTAAAGGTTCATATCTTTTATTTATTGACCTGGTCTCAAAAGATAATTGCATTAAGTAGTATCTTTGACCAATATTAGGGAATCCAAAGGAAAATAAAGTTGTCAAGTATGCATATGTGAGCTAAACTGTAAAACTCCCATATATTCAATGATATAGACAGGGTATGTTAAGGTCAAATAAGTACATTCAAATTAAGATTTAAGCAAAGTACTACGGAGCAAGTCAAGTAATATCAAGAGTAAAAACATTAAAAGTTGAAAGCATGTGACTGACTGATTGCTGAACATGCCGATGGGGTAATGAGGGGTGGTGGTATTCAGGTAACCACCTGCCACTTTACTTCTACCCTCCTGCACCCTGAAAGTATTTAAAAGCATCAAGTACATCCCTGCTATGCTCCAAGTAGAGTAAATTTGAGTATCTGGAGCCACACTAGATCTACAAATAATTTTAGTCATAAGTGATTTTGCCTCAGCTGGATAGACACACTTATTATCTAAATAAGTTCATCTACTTCTGCCACCTGGAAAGAGAAGTCCATGTACGAAATGCCATTTTTCTTAAAATATAAATTAGAAAGATTCCATTTTAATCCCTATGGATATTTCTTAAATGGAAAATTTCTGTGTCACAAATTTAAAATTCTAGAATCAACCTCACACAGATCTCTTGTCACATGCAACTTTGAAGTCTTGTCAGCACTGCTACCTAATTTACATGAAATACCTTGGAGTCACTGTTTCTTTGTAGTATGGTTTGTTAAAAATTTAAGCACTGCTTTAAAGTACATATGAGGTTACTAATCAATCCCAGTGCCCTTAAATTGCGTGCTATGCTATGCACAATTTTCTCCTCTAATGGTGCAGGCTCCAGCTACTCATCAGAAAACTCTAATCATGTGAAATTCTAAATTATATTTGCCATTGATAACTTTATTTTCCTTTATTTTAGAAGTATCACAGGAAGGAATAAAGCTACTATAAAGTTCCTATGCTGTATTCTGGTAATGGAGTAAGGACCTCACAGGAATTTGAGAATGCGTGTGTATGTTTGTGTCTTTGTCTGTGGGTCTATCTGGGTTCTTCTGTGAGAAACAGAAGTGTGACTGGATACTGAGGGGAATTTTAATCATATTAAAGTACTCCCCTAGGACTTCCCTGGTGGCGCTGTGGTTGAGAATCCACCTGCCAATGAAGGGGACATGGGTTTGAGCCCTGGTCCGGGAAGATCCCACATGCCGCTGAGCAATTAAGCCTGTGTGCCATAACTACTGAGCCTGCTTGCCACAGCTACTGAAGCCTGCGTGCCTAGAGCCCGTGCTCCACAGCAAGAGAAGCCACCGCAATGAGAGGCCTGTGTGCCACAATGAAGAGTAGCCCCCGCTCACCACAACTAGAGAAAGCCCATGCGCAGTAACAAAGACCCAAGGCAGCCAAAAATAAATAAATAAATAGATAAATAAATTTATTAAAAAAATAAAAATAAAATATTCCCTAACTTAGCATTATTTATGAAAGATGTGGCCCTTGCATACCCGCATCAGGTTAAAAGCCAGGGTTACTTGTTATAGACACTCTCGTTGTTCCCTCCTGTGTGATGCCTTCCATCCTTTACAAAAATCTGCCTGGATTCTATAATTATGAACTCAAAATTGTATTAGTTTATTACTTAGGATCTTCTGGAGTCATATGATACATAAACATATTGTAAAACTGATTAATTTTTTGAGATAATTGGAAAATATAGGTTAAGCGAGAGTATTATGAAAAATAAACTCAAAGCTGTGTGTATATGTTTGAGACAGAGAAAGAAATGGAAAAACAGAGCTAGAGTGAGATATATGTATTTATCCATCTATACATCATGCAATATACCATGCATACATTACACACATACAAAGGGGAGGTAGAGAGAAAGAATGCATAATAGGTCAGCAGAGATGACTGCCCTAAGACAGTTAACTGAAAAGCAAAAAATCCTTAGATTTTTTAGGGAGCACTTTTTCCCCTGACTTTATAGTCCAATTAACAATTCAAAGATGGCAACCAGGCTACCGAGAAAAAGAGGAAATAAATGTGAGTATCCATCTACCTCCAAGAAAAATTATAAAAACTAGTTAATTGGTCTAATTTTGTGAGACAGTACTTCACTGCAATAGTTATGAGAAAAATCAAGGTAATATAAAGATCAGAGAAAGTTAGAATTCCATGAGATCATAAAAGCCGTCAAGAGCTCCAGAACTACCCTTCGCTTATGAATACAAAGTACCCAATGCAAATATCTGAAATGGATGAAATAATTTTTGGTTATGTGTGTAACATCCTAAAAGCTATGAGGATTATTTTGGTATCAAAGCTGATAACTGCAGGCACTACCAAGGTTTAAAGATTGTTAAATATTAAAATCACATCTGCCCAATCCCTCTGAGTGCGTTTTTACTCTGGTTCCTGACTTTCTCACCAACTAGCAACACATACGTTAGCATCAAGGGCCCTAAAGTCAATGTCCTTTCTGATTTGTTTGTGCTCTTTGCCAAGGAAAATCCTCATGATTTTTTAAAAATAAATTTATCTATTTATTTATTTTTGGCTGTGTTGCGTCTTTGTTGCTGCGTGCAGGCTTTCTCTAGTTGCGGCGAGCAGGGGCTACTCTTTGTTGTGGTGTGCGGGCTTCTCATTGGGGTGGCTTCTCTTGTTGCGCAGCATGGGCTCTGGGTGCATGGGCTTCCGTAGTTGTGGCACGTGGGCTCAGTAGTTGTGGCTCAGGGGTTCTAGGGTGCAGGCTCAGTAGTTGTGGTGCACGGGCTTAGTTGTTCCATGGCATGTGGGATCTTCCCGGACCAGGGCTTGAACCCGTGTCCCCTGCACTGGCAGGTGGATTCTTAACCACTGCACGACCAGGGAAGCTCTCCTCATGATTTTTTAATTAAAAAAATTTTTTTGGCTCCCTGATTGCCAACTCAAGACTTAGGAAGGCCAATGTTTATCCCATGTACATGTTTACTCCTGACCTTTTCAAGGAGTCTTAAGAAAGAAAGAGAAATGAGGCTGATGGGCAGTCCTGGGAACAAGCCCAAACACTAACCCAATGGTGCAGGCTCCAGCTACTCATCAGAAAACTCACGAAAGAAAGAAAGGAGGCCCTCGGGGACAGTAAGGATGGTGGTGGTAGCTTGTGAGCCAGACCAGAGATGCCCAGTGAAGATCCCCATTCTACAATCTTTGTTGAATTTCATTGCTATTTAATAGTGTATCTTTCTTGAAATTCACGCAGACCCTGGTGTCTGAGATATTGGCAATATCAATATTATTTTTATTAATAAAAACAAAAAGCTAACCTTTACAATGTCTTCATTATGTGCCCAAAACATTCTAAAAACACACATGCACACATAGGCATGTGCGCACTATCATTTCAATCATTTAGATGAAGGAAAATAGACGGCATAGATTTACACAAATTATTGAAAGGTGGAGCCAGAATTTAACCCAAGCAGCCCAAGAGCTGAGGTCATTTACCATGCAAACTGCTCTCACATGGCCCACAGGCTCTGTTCTACCTAGATATGATAGATATCCCATGAGCTGTCCCCAAACTCAAATTTGGGAAATGCTAAGCCAAACATATTTAATTTTTTTAATATAGGCCTCTTTGTCTTTTAAAAACATTTTATCAAAATAATATGTATTGTGGTTGTAAATCAAATTATTCAAAAGAGATTGTACTCAAAATGCTTAAAATAGTATTAATAAAATTCTTCCACATTCCCAATCATGCTTTTAACTTTCTGTTATTTTGTTCTTGTTTTTGCTTTTTCATTTCAGTTGGTGGTTGACACTAATGGCCCTAATATTAGAATAATGACTTTAATAATGTCTCAATAATAGGTGATTAGCACTATTTCTTGATTTATATACTTTTGAAGATAATTATGAGCCCTAAAGAACAGGAATTCAATTTACTTATAACCTTCCCCTTACTTCATTCTAAAGTTGATATTTACAATTTAGTTCTTCTTTTGCATATCTTTTACTGTTAAGTAACACCTCTAAATTGTATTTATCTATCACCTTGAGTAATCTTTAATCATTGTTTGCACCCCACCTTTTCTTCCACCATCCACACTCAGTTTCCTCCACCTAACCCTGCCTGAGACGTGCAGCTTTGCTTTTATATCCTTAAGGCTAATATTTATAGTGTCTTCTGCAACCACGTCCAGAGCTTTCTGTTTATGACTACTGGAAAATCAAATGATGTGATATCATGATATTATGCAAGACTCAATTTCAGGCGTGGGGACCATAGATATAAGAAAGTAGTTTCTGGTTCAGTTGTGTATTCTTTCAAGGAGTAAACAATGTTCCAAGATCTCCATCTACAGTACCTGTAACTTTCAGCTTTTCAGCCCCAATGGTAATCCCATCTTCATCTGCAGAAAACAGCACCCTGCCATCTTCACTTGCTCTCACTTCAAATCTTTTACACTGAGCTTCCACAGCATCAGCTCCTATGGTCAGAGGAAAGGTTTAAAAATGAATCTGGTATCCAGAAAACCATTAACATGTATTTTTTTTTTTTAAAAAAAAGAGAAATACATATATTATTTAATCTCTACAGTATGTTTTATACCTAAATTAATATTTTAAAATTAGCATCCTTTTCAGGAGGCTGTCTAATTTGGTAGGGTATTGCTGGGCCAGGTTGGTTGGGTACACATCTGACCTCTAAATCCTGACATAGTCCTGACAAGGTCTGTGTGGGTTTAGCCAGTTAGAAAATCTTTGCATATACACAAGGGAGACGATGTCTGCTTTGTTCTTGGTGGCAGCCTGAAGACTTGGCATTATACCTGGCATGTGCTGGATGCTTAATAAGGACTTGTGGACTGAAGGATTCTCCTGTTTTCCCTCTGCAAGTAGACAATAGTGCCCATACTTGCTACATCACAAGGTACTTATAAAGCATTATTCAGTTGTGAACCTTTAGTTACTCTACACTTCATAGATTCTAATACTGCAATTTGTTCACTCTTTATTACTACTGAATGTGAATCCACTTTAGATTCAATATTGCAAATGTATATCTATATATACATACATAACATATATAGTTAGTGTTCTCCAATGTATCTTCTAATCAATAATTTTCTTTATTAAAATATTCTAAAGAAATACAATTACATCATGCAATTGAAATCTATTTTCAATTTATTGGACAATTTTGCACATTAATCCATCCACAATCCACAAAGCCAGCTCCCACATGTGGAAAACATAATTAATTTGAGAGTGAGCAGGGCTGCAGCAAGAAGATCAAACTGGTCAGGGGCTGAGGAACTGCTATTTCCATAACAGTGATTTCTTTCTTTTGGCATAATGCATTTGGCATATGGATCTGTTTCTTCCCCTCCTGTTAAGATCTGGAACATCCCTCTGCTGCTATCTACACCAGAAACTCTTGGCAAGTACAATGTGGTCCACTCAGGGACCTGGGCATAGCACCCTTTGCACATATTTCTTTTCACTTCTCTCTACATATGCTGTGGACTGAATGTTTGTGTATGCCCTAAATTCATATGTTGAAATCCTAACTCATAATGTGATGGTGTTAGGATATGGGGTCTTTGGAAGGTAATTAGGTCATGAGAATGGAGCCCTCCTGAATGGGATTGGTGCCCTTATAAAAAGACACAAATAAGTTTGCTTTCTCTCTCTATGCAGTCTATGGAGTGAGGACACAGGGAGAAGCTGGCTGTCTGTAAGCCAGGAAGCAGCCTCTCACCAGACACTGGATTTGTTGACACCTTGATCTTGGACTTCCAGCCTCCACAACTGTGAGAAATAAGAATCTGTTGTTTCAGCCACCCAGTCTATGATATTTTGTTACAGCAGTCCAAATGGACTATGACAATGTACTACCATTTTTTGTCAGCTACATGACCCCCAGGAATTCAAAACAGGAGATTATATTTGTATTCCAAAATGCCCTGTAAATTTAAAACTGTGTCTAGTTTCTAGTAGGCTTTTAGTAGGAGAATGTTGTAGAGGTGAATGAGTGCAAGACTTAACGTTCTTCCCGTTTCCTTAGTCCTCAACCCCACCTCAGCCCTACTCTCAACCCTAGTCCATGGGTTTTAGTACTTACACTTTAGTAACTTACACCTCCCCATCATCATAGCTCCTGAGGAGTACTTACTAAGAGGAAGACATTATTCCACACTGGTAACATGTGGGATAATTTCTCTGAAAACAAGAAATTTTTCTTATATTCTGAAACTACATATATGTTTTCAGGTCCACAAAGAAAATGTGAAAACCTCCAATGAGAACAATGCTAAATACTTAAAAACTGGTGTTAACCATGCAAGCTATCAAGTTCAAAACAGCATAAATTGTATTTTAAAGTCTGTTTTTTTTAAGCAAATTACTTTCCTTATGGGATTTAATGGTAATATTGGAGAAACCATGGAAGACCTATTGTTCCTGGTCACAGTCATTGCATTTGATCTTGCAAACATTATTTCAGTAGCCTGTGTTCAGTTGATTTTGTTTTCTTCTCATCATGGCCTAACTTTCCTGTACTGAGCTTTTAATCTTTGAACCATAATAACTCAAATGGATGATGTTCAAAAAGCCATGTTTGAGGCCACATGTGTTGATAAAAGTGATTTCTGAGTTTTGAGGCTTCTGTGTTTCAATCTATCTTCAGGGCACTGAGGCATACCTTAAATATGAACTGCCGAAAAGATACTACAGATACTATACACGTAAAACTTAACATGTACACTGCCTTGCTTCCTTCAAATATATTTAATTATTGGGTGAATTGATCCACAAAATATATCACTGACTTTAATGACACTGAAGTATATAGATCTCTGTGCTTATAGATACATACATACCTACACACTATATACACACACACAGCAGCAAGACTTTTCTTGGCATAATACTTAATGTTGTTAGATGGGAGACAATTTATTAACATAAAAATGCTATATTATAAGTCACAGAAACTGTTAGAAATATAAGTTAAGTGTCTGGATGTGGCAAAGTAAGTTGAAATCTTAATTCATTACATTTAAATAAGCAAAAGAAAATAAGCAGATTAGAAAACATTTATGCACCTGGAATAGAAGAGATGCATCTGGGCCATAAATAAATGGATAAAGACTCATCCAGTTGAAAAATAGATAAATAAATTAACACAGCAGACTACACTCTATTCAACATATTAGTATAATTACAGAAGGCAAAACTGCAAGCAATTAGCAATGCATTGATAATAAGTAAATATTTTAAGTCAGAAAATAATTTTGAATATATTGTGCTTCTGTATATTACTTTTCTGCAAATGGAAAGCACTTAATATATGTAATTAGACATATATTGCATTGTTGTGAATATTTATGTTTAAAATAAATATATTAGGCTATATGAAACTGAATTTATTATATCCTAACGTGCTTTGTGTTGTCTTATTCTGTGTTTCAGGTTTCAATTTAGCATCTCATATTCTCTAGGTTAGATCACCTTAGGAGCCAGTTGTTCAGAGGGGCAGTGATGTCCAGTTTAACCTTATCTCAATCAAAGATGCCTCCAGAATTGCAGGAAAGCAATATGTCTGAATGTCTCTGGGTAAAGAGCTCTGATTCCTTAGCAAATAGATCATGGGAGACAAGTTATCCTGTAAGCTCTATATTTTATTAGTCATCTTAAACACCAAATTGCTAACTAAAGTATCAAGACTAAGTGCTTCTTTCAGAATATCTCCGAGAAGTTCATGTCAGCAACTTCAAAAATCAAAGAACGATTAGGTATAGAACAAGAAAAGAGGGAGATCGATCCAGATGGTAGAGTAAGAGGATGTGGAGTTCACCTCCCCCCACTAACATATCAAAAATACATCTACATGTGGAAAATTTCTCACTGAAAACTAACTGGAAACTGGCAGAAGGACTCCTGTACAACCAAGGCTGTGAGAAAGATCCACACATAATTGCACAGGAAGGGAAGAAAAGCCATCGGTTTGGGACCTGTGCTCCCCGGGAGGAGACTCAGAGGAAAGGGAGAATACAAAGGTGAGCACACCGGGGAGTGAGAGGTGAGAGCCACAGACTGGGCGCCTGGGTCCTGGGGTCTTATGTGGGGAAGACCAGCTGCCTTGGCTGGTTGGAGGACCTCTGGGACAGGCAGGAGGGCTGTGGGAAGGCTGGACTCTGATGGTGAGAAGTGTGCTCACTGGCTCGCCCTCGAGGCAGGACTGAGAGGGCAGAGAGAGGACTGCTCTGGAGCTGCTGGGTTTCCCACGACCACCTCCGCATGCGCCCCAGACCAAGCCAGGCAAACACTCTGGCGATGCTGAGCGTATTTTCATGTGCCTGTTGGCCATCTGTATACTGTTGGTGGGAATGTAAACTGGTGCAGCCACTGTGGAAAACAGTATGGAGGTTTCTCAAAAAACTAAAAATAGGACTACCATATGACCAAGCAATTCCATTACTGGGTATATATCCCAAAACACCAAAAACACTAATTCGAAAAGATACATGCACCCCAAGGTTCATAACAGCATTACTTACAATTGTCAAAACATTATGGAACAACCTAAGTGTCCATCAATGGACAATTGGACAAAGAAGATGTGGGATATTACTCAGCTATAAAAAATAATGAAATTCTGCCATTTGCAACAATGTGAATGGACCTAGGAAATATTAAGCTTAGTGAAATAAGTCAGACAGAGAAAGACAAATACTGTATGATATCACTTGTATGTGGAATCTAAAAAATAAAACAAAGGAATGTATGTAGCAAAACAGAAACAGACTTACAGATATAGAAAGCAAACTAGTGGTTACCAGAGTGGAGAGGGAAATGGGGCAAGATAGACATATGGGATTAAGAGATACAAACTACTATGTATAAAATAGACATGCAACAAGGATATATTATTGTACAGCACAGGGAATCATAGTCATTATCTTGTAACAACTTTAGATAAACTATAATCTGTAAAAATACTGAAACACTATGCTGTACACCCGAAACTAATATAATATTGTAAATTAGCTATACTTCAACTTAAAAAAGAACATGAAAAGAACTGGCAGGAAAAAAAGAAAATATGTTAGCAAAATAATAGGTTTTTTAAAAGGATTGAAGTGTTCAATACATATCCAAATATTTTCTCTAGTCCATTTAATGTTCTGTATAGATTCTTTAAAAGCAAACAAACAAAACAACAACAATGTTAATTTCTTATTTCCCTCAGAGATGGCTCCACTGCCCTTTTTGGAAGGTTCACATTTCTTACAGTCATATTTAGTGTCCAAATGCATGTTTTGCAGACAAGTAGAGAGGCTTCGTTAATTATGTACTGGTTTTGCATTTTCTATGTTAAATCAGTCGAAGACATGAACTGGAAAGTTTTCTTCAATAAAAAGAAAATAAAGCAAAGATCAAAATGGATATGTCTGGTGTGTTTTCCTCAAGCATAGCAGGATGA